TATATAGCACAATTATGCTTATTAGCACACAGACAGCTATTTCATTTACTGTGTGTCACAGCAATTAGTGTAGTTAGTCCCCTCCAAGTGAACATTTCGTTTATTTTCTCTGTTTTGCTAAAACCAGTGATGCTGCAATAAACATCCTTGTATATGTGAACACTCCACAACCAATCCATGAGGTGAATTCCTAGCAATAGGCTTTCTGGGCCAAAGTATATGTGCTTGCTGAAATCAGAGAGATAGGGATACATTAGTATCTGAAAAGGGTTAGGCCACTTTACCTCTCTACCATGATGGTGCGTGAGTCTGTTTACACACACTCTCATCAGAACTGGATATAAAAAAGGATTCTGCATTACTCTTGCAATCTGTTTCTTTTCCATACATTCCATGAACAGTATTTCTCAGCAAGGATTAAATAAGTACAATTAATGGTCAAATTAGATAAGTAAATGAGAACAAAAGTGAGGGGAGGAAGGAAAACAATGCCATGTTTTTTTTCTACACGTAAGCAGGAAAATATTCAAGGTACAGAAATTGGAAACAAAATCTAAATCAGGAGCTTTCTTTTGTTCCACAAATGTACTGTAACAGGCACTAGTCAATAAAAATCTGTCTTGGAGAGCAGTGAATTTTTCAGCAGCAATAATTATGTCTACGTATTTCATTTTCTGCTTTGGGAAAAGCTTGTGATTCATGCAGAGTGTACACACAAGCCCCATGCAGTGGGCTAAATTACTCCTATGCTACGTCCTTTTATCTGGCTACTGCTGGGTCAGTCTCCTGGCATGCAGAAGAGCAGAGTGACAGGAGTCTTCAAAGGACCTGAAACTGAACTTGACCTCACAGTCCAGTTCTGCCATTGAGTAATTCAGTAAAGGTTTGCTCCAAGTACAAATGATATTGCTGATGACTTTTCATTCTGTGTCCTAAACAAGGAAAATAAACTACACAAAATGCTCTAACAGACACTCAGCTTGGTTAATCGATTTTCTCAGTCTTATTTTTAAAAATAAAAGTATGTGAGTATACGCAAAAAATGTGTACTCACCTAACAAAAGAAAATCAACAATATAAAAGGCTGTAAAATTGTCCTCTGAAATTCAATTATTGCTTTGTGTAAGCATTGTACACAAGACTGTTTAATTTATAAGAAAGCAACAGGACTCAAGTTATAATTCTGTTCCATTTTCTTTCAATGCATTTGACATGTCAATACGTAGTCCCACTATTTTGGCCATGTAACTGTTGCATTAAATTACTCAGTAACTATAACATTTGTTATTACATGTGGTAGTAATTTTTAGTATGAGTTACTCTGTTTTTTGAGTTATTCTGCTTTTAATTAATACATAGTAATCTGACACATATTTACAGACTACAGTGTGGTGTTTCAATATTTGCATACATTATGTGATGATGAAATAAAATCAAGGTATTTAGAACTTCTGTAACCTCAAACACTTTAGCGGTACCCATGCTGTAGAACATCAGAATTTATTCCTCCACTGTATCTAAATTTTGTACACATTGACCAAGTTTTCCCTGTGCCCCTGGAGCCCTCTATTGATCCCTGCCTCTAGTAAACACCATTCTGCTATTCTACTTCTGGGAGACTGACTTTTTGAAATTCCACAAAAAGTGAGAACATTGATGATTCTGAGTCCAGTTCCTGCCACTAATCTGTGTTGCTAAGTAGCCAATAAGCAAGATTGATTATGTCTCATTGTGGCTTTTATTTACATTTCCCCAAGCAGTGATATTAAACATTTTTTCCTACACTTGTTAACCATTTCTATGTCTTCTTTGGATAAATGTCTATTCATATCTTTTGCCTTTTTTAATTGACCTTCTTTCTTTTTCCTCCTGAGTTGTTTGTGCTTCTCCTATATTATGGATGTCAACACCTCATCAGATTCACAGGCTGCAACCCCGTTCTGGGGGTTGTCTCTGGACTCTACTCACTGTTTCGTGGTTGTACAGAGGGCTTTTAACTTGATGTTACTTCCATTTGTCTCTGTTTGCTTTTGCTGCCCATAATTTTTAATACTCATTCAAAAAATTCCTGCCCATACCAATGTCATACAGGATTCCTCTCATTTTTATATGTAATTTTAATTCTTATATTTAAGTCTTTGATCCAGTTTGAGTTGATTTTTATAATTGCTGAGCACCAGGGGTCTTGTTTCCTTCTCCTGCAGAGGGACAACCAGTTTTGTGATTTCTTGGCACTTTCGTCCAACTCACTGGGCCATAAGCATATTCCTCTGATTTTGAAGGTAGAAAATTACTGTAGTGCTGTGTGTGAATCATGTGTGTAATGCTGTAGTGCTAATCATTTTCACATGCTGGTAAAAATAAAAAGGGAAATAGAGAATTTTTTTCAAGAATATCTATACAGTTTATCAAAATTCATAGTGATTTTGCTTCCATTATTGGTTAACCAAAGAAAAAATTGGGGTTGCTTTGACTATAGTTTTAATAAATACAACTTACCATTTTACCCAAGAGGAACAACTGAAATGTTAATTGTATAGTCTCCTTCCTCCTTAGATTGGTATTCAAGGCCTTTTCAAATCTAAAGTAAACTTAACTTTTAATTGTTATTTCTGATTTCAATCTCTGAGATCTGACAGAACCTGCTGGTGGTGTCCTAATACCATTTTCCCTTCTATTTTGGTGCATCTTGTCTGGGCATGGTGTGAGTGGATATAATTACCACTCCTTCAGGCCCCTTTGTAACTAACTATGGTGCTCAATGGATACAAAGTCTACCCGCTGAGTGGTGGGCAGAGTAAGGCAGGAGATTGGGGTGTGGCAAACTGGCTGGGCAAGCCAGCATGAACTGTCAATTACAGCCAAGACATGGGGGCAGAGCTGCTCCTGAGCCCTGAACCTATGTCCAATAGGACTACACTATCTTCAACTCTTCTGGCAGGTTTTTGGCATATCAAACAGGCTTTTGACAGGATGGCCTAGAGCTGACATCAGAATGGGGGTATGAAAGAAGGCAACATTGAACTTGTGGCCTCTATGAGCCTTTGCACCATCCCACTCTGCAAGGTGTACTTCTTTTCTATTTCTTTTCCTCCATTAATTGTCTCACACTCATTCTGCAGAGCACCTTAGTTCAGAACACTTCTCTCTTCTTTTCTTACCTTCATTACCTTTACATTTAATAAATGTAAAACCTTGTCATGCTTTTCACTCATCTTGTCCCCTACTTGAACAGGACAATGTGAGCCTGGAAGGGACCCCTGAGAAAAGACCATAGCACCCCACTACCCTCCTAAGAGAAGCCCAGAATGGAGTAGCCACAACAGGTCATAAAGAATATCAACATGAAGAGTGAGATTTGACTGAGAAATAGATCCCACTTGCTTCCTGAATTATCTTCTTCCTTTTTTCTTTTCTTCATTTTACTCTAGATGTTGCTGTACAAGCTGGGAATCAAACAAGGAGAAAAATGGTGAAATTTTGTGCTCCATTTGGCTTATATCCAAAAACCTTTAAGATGCTACACAATGACTGGAGTCCCATCAACTATATCACACTATGAGGAGAATTTGAGGGCAGAAATCATGTGCATGCAGCAGAAAAGGGGAAGCTGTGGTCTCCAGTGAGTTCATGGAACATTAATTTAATCCATAACCTCAATCAGATTGTTACAACTTCTAAACTTCTTTAGCCTGAGAGCAGACTCCTTTGTGACTGAGCCTCTGCATTTAAGCCTCCAAAAGTAGCAACAAAACCTCAAAGTTCCTGATACCCTTTTTCAGCATGTCTCACATTTCATTTCCTCCAAATGATCTTCCTGTGGTCTTCCAACCATCTGCGACTGCTGTGACCTTGAGTATTCTACACCCTCTGAGCACTGACGGGCCCTCCTCTGTATTCATTAGCACTTTTTCCCTTGCCTTCCTGAATTATTGATTATTTTCTAATGTGTAAATTTTAACCATTCAAGTAGACTATACATGATCTAAGGGTAGGCGAAATGTCTATTTAATCTTGTTATTCCTCAGGGAAAATTTCAGTGTTCTATAATAAATATTTCATAAAAAAGTGAATGTGAAACTCCTTCTTTGTTGCCTGATTAAAGACTATAAAATGGGCAAATTTCATCTAAGAAAATTATTTTTGGGTTTCTGCTCATAACTTACCTTGGACAATGTCTGGGTGAGATTATTCTAATAGATTATTCTAATAGATGTTTATTCAATTCATTCAAGTAAGATATTAGCATCAATTTCACAGCAGTCAAGAAATGGGGTGGAGTGGATTCTTCCCTCAAAGATCTTGCAGGTCAAAACAGAGATTGATATTGAACAAATAGTCACAGTGAAAGGCTACAAAGTATTACGTCAAGGAAAGTGGTAACAGAAAGCTGGTAAACCACATTGAGTGTAAGGGAAGACAAATCTCCTTGAAGACATGATGTTTATTCTAAATTTAATAATGCGTGTTTTTAGTATCTTGACTCAGCCCTGCTGTGACAAATCAGATGCAGCCCAGCTTCCAGGGCTACGGGAGTCTGAGAACCACAAGCACATCTACAGGTACTGCATGTTAGGCCAGCAAAAGTGAAAGAACAGTACTGAAATGTGTGCGAGGTTATGCTGGATGTGTTTTGGATTAAAAAGTAGAAGGTGAGGGCTGGGGATGTAGCTCAGTGGTTCCGCTGCCTGCCTCGCAAGCACAAGGACCCGAGTTCGATCCCTGATATCAAAAAAAAAAAAAGGAGAAGGTGGAAGAAATAGAAGGGAAAAGAGAAGGCAGAGGACAGGAAAAGAAGAGAAAGAAGAGAAACAGGAGGGCGGGAAGAGGAAGAGAGGGAGAGGATGCAGGAGAAGGCCAGTGGCAGAGTTGGGGAGACACTTCAAAGCAGTCTTGCTAAAAATAAACACATGGACAAGATTCAAATGTCGGTCTCTGCCTTCTTCCAGATCTTTCATTGTCTAGATGTACTTATTTGTAAATTAGGAAACTAAGAAGGGTATTTTTTAGAAAGCTTTATTAAGGTTTAATTGATAAGCAATGACTTAAACATGCCTAATACACAATTTGATTAATTTTGACCTATACTTATTTACATGAATCGTTCCCTATAATGAGCTTAATGGACATATATATCATCTCCAAACTTCTTAGTATGCCTTTAGAATCCCTCATCCAGGTCCACAGGGAACTGGAACTCTTTCTGTAGATTCATTTGTATTTTCTAGAATATTATGTAAATAGAATCTCACAGTATTCCCTATTATTTCTGAAAAAAAATAGTTTTTCACTTAGGGTAATTATTCTTAGGTTAACCCAAGTTAATGCAAGTACCAATATTTTATTCTGTTTTATTCTAGGGTACTATTCAATTGTAGGACATACCATACTTTGTTTATTCATCCATTTATTGATGGACATTTGGGTTGTTTCCAATTTGAGACTATTATAAATGAAGCTGCTGTGAACTTTCTTACACGCATATTCACATAGATATATGTTCTTACTTCTCTCAGGTTAAGTACTCAGGAATGGCGTGGTTGAGTCTTACCATACATGTTAAACACTCTGTAGAGAATAGCAAACTGCCTTGCAAAATGATGATGTTGCTTCTTTACCTCTCACCAGCCTGCATGTCCACCCTTTCATACACCCTCCCTAAAGCTTGGTATCTGGTGGTAGCTCACTACGGTTTAATTTGCATTTTCCCAAGGGCTAATGAGACTGAGCATTTTTTAACATGTGTGCTTACCATTTGGGGGGAAATGTCTTCTCAAACCTTTGACTCTTTTTACTGAGTTGATTTCTTACTATTGAGTTTTGCATGCTTTCTGTATATTCTCAATACAGGATATTCATCTGACCTGTGATTCTTAGTAGGGCATATTTAAATGAATCATTGCCAGGCTCAAGTGCAGAAAGGAATATTTAAGATATCTTATGTTGATTTAAAATAACATTAAAACACAGGTAGGAAAAACAAATCCAGAAGAGTTTATGGGACATAAATATAGCTATATGAACATATATAAAGATCTACATAATGTAATATCTATAAACAAACCACAAACAAAAGTCAATGAGCCAGGAAGATATACCCAATCAGAGCCAGGTGCATGCCTGTAATCCCAGCACTTGAAAGGCTGAGGCAGGAGGATTGCCCAGAGTTCAAGGCCCTCCGGGGCTATACAGTGAGCTCAGGGGTCAGCTTGAACTACAAAGGGAGACCCTGCCGCAAAAAAAAAAAGATTTACCCAACCTTAGACTAACAAATGTGTCCAGCAAGAAGCTACCACTTCCCCTTGCCTTGAGCTGGTCTCCGTCTCCTCCTTCCAGTGGACCAGGGACGGCCGTCATTAGCTATTAATGACTTGGTTAAAATTTCCTGCTGTTCAACCCACGCAGCCTTCTAAAGATCCATTTTAAGCTCCTATTAAAGACAACACGGGAGAAAATTTACTATTTGTGGAACAACCTTGAACAACTTTTCTGGCAGCACTTTTGGAGCAGGCCCTGCCTCCGCTGTGGCTGCCCTCCCAGGGCAGAGTTTGAGCTCGCTGACTGTCCAGTGGGTGACACTGTGGGGAGAGGCTGTCCAGCGCCTAGGGGCAGAGCCTGCTCTGCTCAGCAAGGATGACGGGCCAGGAGAGAGCTGAGAGCCGTTCCTCACTAAAGGACAAAGCCACATTAAGAGACATCAACAACATAGTCATGAAAGGGCAACCATTAATTCAGACAGTTCTATAATCATTTCCTTCCTAACATAAAAATGAAAAAGTCCAGGAAAGTTTTTATTAGGAAAGAAATTTAAATTGACTATATATGCCACAATAAGGTTTATAAGCGTCTATAGAATGGAATTTAAAATTCCATAAAGTTACCTGAGAGATAGGTGAATCAAGAGACCTAACACTGAGTTTCAAACTCAGCTCCCAGTTAACACAGTTGCTCTCTAACAAGACTGGTCCTCAGCACCACACAAGAAATGGAAAGAAAGAGAGACAGCATGTGCTAATGAATCCAAGACCTCACTGTTGGAACTAAGACATTCCAGATGTGAGTTCCATCATCTGATGGCCGGTTGCACGTTCCACTTTGCATATTCCTCCTAAACAATGGGCACAGGTCAAGGAAGGCCAGGACAGGCATGGGACAAGCCCATGCCTCTGTCCCTCTTCAGCATGACAGAGACAGCTGGAGTCTGGCGTGCATCTCTCTTCCTGGCCTTTCTCCATCCACGTTCCCCCTCACAGTCCTCTCTTAAAGTTTTAAAATTATTTTTCAAGAACCACATGATCCAAAGAAAGGACAGTGTGCTGATCCTTTTCTACAAAAAATACTTTTTTATCTAGTAATATTTTCTATGAAGTTAAAAAAGTTCTCCATACCCCTTGATGGTTGTATATCTGCACATTTCTAAATTTGTCCTAAGATAAAAGTTTTTTTATTCAAGAAAAAAAAATAAGTTTGCAGTTTATATAAAACTCTGTAAATAGTTCATAAATATTTGTTGAAAGAATGACTCATGAAGAAACACATTGTAGTCAAATCATGAAAATCTAAATTAACCTTTAAGGCATTTGTGTTAAGATGAAGTAAACGCACAGAGAGGAGATACCTTTGAAGGGACATGGAGGGCCTGGTCATCGGTAGCAGAGCAGCTGGAGGAGCGAAGTCTGGGGAAGCGTGTGCAAGGCCAGCCCCAGAGCAGGCGGGATGGCCTCCTCACACCAGGGCCACCGGGCACCAGGTCCCTGGCCGGCAGCCCTGAGTGATGACCTTGCCCTGCACTGGCCCAGATTCCGCATCTACACACCCTCTTGGCCCTGCGCCCCTCTGCCTCCCTGCACCAGGTCAACACACACACTTTCCAATCTGGTTGTGCCACCCACAACAGAGACATAAAAATAACTATTTTTTGCTACATTGAAAGTTAATAAAATTTCATCTTTAATTTAACTGTGACTATAAAAAGTGAGTCTGTGCTTCTTGGATGAAAGACCACTTCTTTAGGCCGAGGCCAATCCCGTGGGCCAACTCACTCCCCGACTGCCTGGAAGAGACTGTTCCCCAGTAGCTGTGTGAACCCAGAGCCCCTTGAACGGCACAGCCCCCTGAGCCTCGCAGTTGCCTGAGCCGCACACCCCCCTGAACTGCACATCCCCCTGAGCAGCACAGCCCCCTGAACCACACAGCCCCGTGCCCTCTCTTTCCAAGTGCCAGCCCCTGCTCGGGGAGCCCCTCAACCCACTAATGCTCCATCCCGCGTGCCCTCCCAGTGTCCACACAGCAGCCTCCCCCCCGCTTCCAGGGCCTCTCTGAGGTCCTGCTCTGACCTGTGCCTCCTGCACGTTTACCTTTCTCTCTCTGCTGGCTGGCAGGAATGTGGGGGAAAATGTTCATGTGACCTTCAGAAAAAGGTTTAAACATTACAGAGATCAAACTTTTCAGAACTTAACTGCAGCCCTACCTTTTCCACATCTGCTGTCCCCATGTGAGTAGCCGAGTAGCCCAAGATTTTTATTTTCTCTCTGTGTTCATTATAAACTCCCGGGGTAGGGGCCAGGGGTAGGACCTCTACTGTATCTATTTCCATCTGCACTCTGGGTACATAATAGATGATCAGATAAAGGCTACTAAGAAGTAAAAAAGTCCAGATCACCATAGAACATTGTCATACTCATTGCAATGAACCACTGTATTTATTATTGAGTGCTTAGTCTAAAGAGGATAAATTACAAATGTAATCATTTAGAATAAATTTTTGCCAAACAAAGTACTATGTGAAAAGTTTATTAGGGAATTTCTTAACTCTTAAAATACAGTTCTTTGATGTTGTTACTTTGGTAGATTTCAGACATCACCATTTCTATAGATGCTAATCATTAAATACAAGTAAGCTAGCTTCACTAAAACAAATTATCTTCTCAAAAATAAAATGAACAGTACATTAATTTAATATTGCTGAATTATGTACTAAATGTAAAGAAACATATTGGACTGATAACCTCTTTTCAAAAAATACATATGAATAGTTTGCTTTACTGACTGTTAAGAGAAATTATATTTTCATTACAATTATATTCTTATTCCTTTATATACAAACCTTTTAAATCCCCCAATAAAATTTGCTGTATACTTACATTGTATTTTGTAAAGAAGTCCAGTGAAATCAAATAAATACCAAAGATTTCACTTACTACAGCTTTTGATTATATAGAGCTAGATGTCCTAACAAAAACATAATGACATGAAGTAATACACAGTACATGTTATTTATCATATCTTGTTGTGGTTGTATCACTCTTTAACAAAACAAGGATATTTAATGCACTTCTGGAATAAATTCTCATGAAGTCATTAAGTAGAGTACAGTTTGCATTTTTCTGGTAAGGAAGTAGATTCAGGAAACAAACTGTGGATAAGCAAAGTCAACTAGATTGCTAATCATCAGGTAAAGGGAAACAGCAGGGAATAAAGAAGGTATTTTGACTGATTAAAGACTGTTACCATGTTTCCGTAGAAAATGCAGATATGAGTTTAAACATCAGGGAAAGGAAGATAATTTTTAATGGAATAAAATTCAGAAGAACTCTAACATAAAAAGGTGGAAAAAGGAATGAGTAGTGGGTCAAACTGGCAAAAAATATATTTTTAAAGGAAAGAAAAAGAAAATTAAAAAAAAGAGAAAACAAATCTCAAACCAAAATAAGTACCTTAGTGAGATACAGGAATAAAATCAACTACATAAATTTCATACTAAAATATAGAAGGGCCACATTATCCTGCTAAAACACAAGATAGCCATTTTGGATAAACATCTAAAGCAAGTGATATACAAAGGCTAAAAATAGTAAAGTGGGCCAGAAGATACTCTGCTAATCCAAAAATAAAACAAAACTAGGTGGGTACTGTTAATGTCAGATGCCAAGATGGGATAGTAGGTTAAAAGAAGAAACAAGATTAAGTTGTAGTGTATAATATGAAAACTATCTTAAGGATGTTTCAGAAATACATTCACCAAAAAATATAACAACTACATAAAACTTATGCAAAACTTATCCAAAATATGAAAGAGTTGAGACCATAGAGAACATCAACAAAGTGATTTAATACTATCAAATAATGTCGGACTGCTGGTGCAACAGAAGTTGCAATAAAAATGTAATGACAATATCATTTAAAATAACAAGACTGTGTAAAAGATGGAAAGATCCCCAATTTAACTCAGAACAATACAGTGATAAAGATAATGGCAACATAGAAGCCCATAGACTGTTTCATTATTGACTACAAATGTAAATATTCTAAGTTATACTTAATAGATTTAGGGGGAACGTTTCCAACTCATAGCGATAACAGAAAGTAGCTTGCTTATGTCATCCAGGACACCATGATTGCAAAACAGCTCTCGATTTCAGTAAAGTGTAAATATTACATGCATACCACCTAAATTCAATGAAATATGTTATAAAATCCTTGGAAATAAAGCTTTTAAAAAGACCCAACCTTAAAGGAATCAAGCTGTAAAATCTTACTGAGCTCCTGGATACATCCTTAGACCTATCAGAATACATTTTTAAGTTCCCCAATAAATTCTACCATACAACCATGCTGGAAAAAATAGACAATTGATGGCAACAACACATATGTCCACTAAAAGAAGAATGGATGAACAAAGTGTGGAATACACATGCAATGGACTACTATTCAGCCACGAAAAAGAACAGTACCGATTATAGGCTACAAAATAGATGAATTTTGACAAGAAGCAGCTGGAACAAATGACCACATGCTGTATGATTCTTTTATATGAAACATCCAGGATGGATGAATCCACAGAATAGAAGCAGATGAGAGGTCACCCAGGGGTGCTGCAGGGTAGGAAAAACGGTCACTGAATGTCCATGAGCACCTTTGGGGAAGGGTGTAAAAGCTCGAGACCTAGAAGAGGTCATGGGTAAGGCGCTCGCTGGGTTCGCACGCAGGCCTGGATTCAGCCCGGAAACAGGAAAAACAGTTAAGTGTCTTTTAGGAGAGTTTCACCTCAATAGACACGGAGTGATATCTCAAAATAATAATTCCTTAAAAGTCAGGCTGGCCTTACACTCAGGCAGGGAAGGAACAGAGCAGTCTATGTCCACGCGACATTACTTCCGGGTCTTAGAGGTCACCCTCACATAGTTCCTGCATGCATGCATGTATCATGTCTGCAATGTTTCTAATAGGAAAAAGCATTGCTTACCACATGATTAGAGGCAAGGACTGCAACGCAAGGGTGAGGGCAATATGCGGTGAGCGTTTACCTGAGGAGTCCTTACAGTTGCCTTGGGCTCCCGCCAAGCTCGGGGAAGCCGCTTTCCCGCCTCTCAGGAGGCGCGGCCGGCAAAGGGAGCGGATGTTCTCCACTCCGGGTCCCAGCAACACGGCGCCCTACGGCCCCAGTGTGGGCTCCAGGCTTTCAGGAGAGGAGCTTCCACGTCTTCGTCCCCATCCTTTCCTTTGCAGGCGTTATTTTCCTGATCACTGCCCATGGAATCTAATACCATAGATGTTTTTAAATTATGATTTTTGTTTCCTTGCGACAGGATCTCACTATGTAGTTTGGACGGGCCTTGAACTCACTATGGAGCCAAAGCTGGCCTGGCACTTGTGGTGAGCCTCCTGCCTCAGCCTCTCAAGAGCGAGGGTTACAGGCGTTCACCACCACGCGCGGCTAATACCACAGATTTATGATCTGTTTGTCGGTGCCTGTATAGTGGGGACTTATACACAAAAATAGTAAGGTTCTTCGTCTACCCCCAAGAACCTTCCAGGAAGGTATGACTCCCGTCGAGAAGGCCTATGTTAAGGCAATATCACTGAAGTATTATTTTGTGATACCACATATATTTCTCTCATCCTAATTTGTAAAATAAAATTGAGATGCTAAATTTTGCTTTTATTTGTGGGAAGAAGTCTGAGACCACATTGATGGGACCGCTGTGGAGGAATCCTTTAGATTCACTATTGAGGTGGGCACCTGAGCTTATCTGGTGGGGATGATGCCCCTCCCCTCCGGTGGAAAGATGTTCCACGCTTTGAGAAATAATCCACAGAGCACTAGGAAGTCACTGCTATTGTGCCCACTCCCTGCTCTTATCAAATGTCTTGTTTCCAACAAAGAGCTGGAATGTCACAGAATCATAGTAAATCAAACAACAATTCTCCCGGGAGGCTGGGATCGGGCGACATTTGCATGTTCCACTAACTTACTTCAGTGTCCCCCATAGTTCTATGTATCCTAGTCCATATTTTGGAAATAAAAACAAGAAAAATACTTTGAACAGCTACTGGAGTGGGCAGACACGCACGTACAGCAATGCCCCCTCAGGCCTTAGGGAGCCATTGCATCCTCGGAAATGACAGCTCAGTCCTGTGCTGAGGACCACGTGAGGAGCTGCACGGGGCCCACACAGGCAGACCAGGCCTTGGCCAAAGTTCTGGCTGGGGAGGGAAGGAGCTCAAAGCCATGTCCTCGCTGCAGCCCTCTGCACCCACTTCCTTCACAGTGTGTCGCTCTCCTACCCACCCCAAGCCCAGTGAGCAGCTTCATCCCTCCAGCATGTATTCCTTCAGGCCACTTCAAGAACAAGATACAAGCCAGCTCTGCTTCTTTATTTATGCTTCATCATTTGTGCCTATTGTATTTTTAAATGTTTATTTTCATC